GCACTCAATTTGTAAAGATTGATGAAATTGAACCCAGTATGGAAACTTTACATGTGGAGTTCCCCAGGGTTCAACCCTCAGACCATTTTTATTCTTCCTTTATATTAATGATTTACCAAACTCCTCCGCAAAGCTTTCTTTTAGAATATTTGCAGATGATACTAATATTTTCTTTACCGGCAGTAATCCAAAAGAGGTTGAATTTACAATGAATGAAGAGATTCAGTTAGTTTTAAAATACTGTGCTATTAATAAATTGTCTGTAAATTTTAAGAAAACTAATTATATGGTAATAACATCATCAAAGAAAAAAATACATTTAACTATCCACAATATCGTATGCAAAAGCTATATTAAGTATCTAGGTGTATACCTTGATGAGCATCTACAGTGAGAACCTCAAATTTAATGTGTAGATAATAAATTAGCAAAGAATGTAGGTATAATTAATAAGCTAAGACACTATCTTGATTTTCATATTCTCAAACAGTTATATTATACCCTTATTTATGCATACTTAAACTATGGTCTTGCCAGCCGAGGTGCTGCTTACAGAACTAGATTAAATAAAATCTGCACTAAGCAGAATAAATGTATACGAAGCATGTTCTTTGCTCATGGCAGAGAACATGGCAACCCATATTATAATCTTCTTGGAATTTTGAAATTTGAAAATATTTACAGACTAAGAGTATCACTTTTTACACATAAATGTAAGAATGATAAAAGTAACACCCCAGCTGTACTACTGAATATTCTCACACCTGCATTAGAGATTCACCCATATAACACCAGGTATGCTGCAAATCAAAACTTCTTTAAGCCATCAGTATGCACCAATTATGGTGTATCTACATTTCAACTCTCCACAATAAAAAATCTGGGAATCTGTCCCACCAGAACTTAAACGTTTTCCATACATGCTCTTCAAAAAACGGTATAAAAGATTCTTACTGACCACTCAAAACTGAACATAGTTTAACTGCTAGCTATGTAAGATACTGCTGTACAATATTCAGGACATTGTTTTCCTTTATTTTAGCTCACATTTATGCATGTCTTTCTTCTTTTATGATAATAATATCGTCTTTAATGTAAATATTAATTTAAATTAACTTAGCATGTGGCCAACGTCAACTTATATCTGCATGACAGTGACCAACTCGAAAGCTCATTGGCTACTTTGGTCACTGTACACAATTAAATATAATTTGTTTGTTGTAGTTGATTTCTATCTGTATTTATTTTTCCTATATCATTGTAAACCATCTTACGTTAAGTTGTTTTTCCGTAAATAGTGTGCAATAATAAAAAAACTGAACTGTGTGGCTACAGCCTTACCACTCTACCCAATTTAGTTCAGGAGAAAGAAGAAGTTGACCCTCTGTTCATCCCTCCATCTGCGCAAGCCCCATGGTCTGGAAAGCAAGAACTTTCAGGGAGAATGAAGCACTATGAATTACTGATAATGTTTTGGATGCAATGGAAAAGAGAGTATTTGCTTAACCTGAGAGCATTTCATCCCCAACCACTCAAAGGACCCTTGACAGCGAAAAACAGTTCTCTCAAGATTGGTGATGCTGTTCTAGTCCAAGAGAATCTTTTAAGAAGTCAATGGCGGCTCGTGGAGAAACTTATCGAAGGGAGAGATGGCTGGTGTTGTACTGCCCAAGTTAAATTGGCAATGGAAACTGGATTCAATGTCCTTTGCAGTTGCTTCATTCAATAGCAGTTCAAGTGTATTGTAAGCTGTATATGTAGATGTATTGTAATGTTAGTTGTGTAAGTATTGGTAGTGTAAGTTACGTAACTGACTGTATGTTAACTTTTTCCCTTGTAAACACTCCAGGTAGGGTTCAGCTGCCTACAAGGGTTAACTTTCTAATTGTTTCCAGACCCTTTGAGTGTAACCACACATTAAGTTGTCCGGCAGGGGGGTGGGTGGGTTGTGGTTTGTTGGTTGTTGAGGAGAATGATGGAGTTCAGGGGAGAAGTAATTTGTTCAAAAAATGTTTCTGCAGTGTTTTCAGAGTAAAAGTTTTGAACCCCCTTTAAAAATTATAGGATATGCCCCTGTAACAATCCATAAAAGTTGCAATATTAAGTGTTTTCTTTCATGTTGAACATGGAAGGTAGTGAACATTGACGTAGTGGGATTGAGAGTGGGTCGAAATGGTCAAATGGAAGGTTCATTTCCATTTGACCAGTCCAACCGAAAAAAGTGGTCCACCTTGAAAAGTGGATTGGCTGTTTTGAAAGTTTTCTGGTTGGACTGAAGCAATCCATTCAATCTTTGACCAAAATTTTCAGAAATTTTGGTTAAATTAATGGATCATGCCCGTTGTTTGAGTTTAGCTTACCTTCTGTAGATGGTACTTTCCTGCTATAATTATGACATTGTTGCTGTGTATTTGTTGCAAAATTAGGTAAGTAGATTTACTTTTCTGGAAACTTATGCTGTGTTTACATTTGAGCTTTTACCAAGGTAAAAATTTACTAAGGTCAAGTTACTTTACCTTAGTACATTCGTCCAGTGTTTACACTGGCTCGAATAACTCAAGTTGACCTGTCAACACTCCCGCTAGCTGCATTATCTACGTCATGAAATCGAATTGGCGGGAAATTCTAAAACCATGCTCGTTTCAAGAAGTAAATTGGTGGCTTTCTTGGCCATTGCTTTTTATTTCTTAATTCAAGAACCGCAAACAGAAACGTCAAGATT